TTTTCTCCTACACTGAAGGCTGAGGACTGTGATGTATTGCCTCCTGCAAGAAGGGGGCTTAAAATAAAAGTGTCTTGATACCTTTGGTTAGATCAGTCAGCGATCATGACTTCTTCACTAACTGACACAAACAGGGGAGCATACTGAGGGGGTGCTGATCCAGAAATAGAGACAAAATCTTAAAATGAAATAAATTGCATTTTTATTAATTTGGAGATAATTCCATGCCTCCTCCCCTTCTGAATAACTAGAAAGATTCAGAAAACTAGAGACATTTCACTCCTGTTGGATCCAGGGGGATTCTTCTCCTTTTAGATACCTGAGGACGTTCTCTGAGATCTGGGTTCAACTTGAACTCCAAAATCTTAAAATGAATTTAATTTCAGCACCTTGGGTTTCATGTTAAAAACATATAGAACCACCAGTTCTGCATGACTTAGGTGGGAAGCCATAACTCAGCCCACATTTGCTCAAAATGGAGTCCAGGATCACTCAAAAACTTTATGAACCTTTGCAAACATTTGACAAACATGGGTCTGAGTTTTGAGTTTGTGACTAAGCTTGAAACCAGACACAGAGTGGTTTCTTTGCAAAGGATTTTCCCAACCCTGTAGGCAATAAGGGTATTTTCTTTGGTGGTGATAGCTACTTGCATTTGGCATGTCATTCAACTTTCTGAGATCTTGACGATTGTCTGCAGTGAGTTTGCTATACATTTTAGTTTCTCTGTACTATTGTCAGTACCACAGGCCCCTAGGCTAAATTCAACAGCTTGTTCTACTGTCTGGATTTTTTCTCTAGCTCCAAAACGCAAATATGAAGATTTTTGCTGCTCATCAACCCATCTATTTTTAGTAGTCACTGGACAAACCTCAGAAGATTTGAAACTTGAATTTGGTTCAGAAAGACATCCATATGCTCAGATACACCTCTACCCCGATATAACGCTGTCCTCAGGAGCCAAAAAATCTTACCACGTTATAGGTGAAACCACGGTATATTGAACTTTCTTTGATCCACCGGAGCACGCAGCCCCCCACCCCCACCCCCAGAGCACTGATTTACCGCATTATATCCAAATTCGTGTTATATCAGGTCGCATTATATCGGGGTAGAGGTGTACTTACTAGACGCACTTGAAACTTTTAAGTCTGCAAACTGGGCTGTAACTCTTGCAAGAAAAAGACTTACTCATTTCTTACACCTCTGCTTCTGGTTCCAAACCACATGCCACAAGACCAGCCCTTAGTTACAGCATCCTGGCACTTCTCATTCTAATTCCAGCCATAACTTGAAAGTGCAAGGTGGGGAGGAAGGGGAACTCAAGTGAATGTCTGACAAAGCTTCCCAGCACAGCACAGCACGCAAGGGATTATGAATTGTAAAGTTCACTAACATGCTGGGCTCTAATTGCCCCATATGGACCTTGCTGGCAGTCTCTAAAAGGTACCTGCTTCACATTAACATAGTTCTGTTTGGACAACATTAACGTGAATTAGGTACCTTTCAGGGAGCACCCATCAACACCAGGCAGTTAGATCCCAGCATGTTAGCACAAATCACATACCTCTAGTTAGCTTTGCCATCACCATCCAGACAAGCCCAAAGTTTCAGTCTTAAAATAAACTAAGGTTTGAGTGAGAGTCACCAATCCCTCATTCTCAATTAAATAAATGTTTGTTAACCTTAATTTTTATTATAACATATTAACAAGTCTGTGGGATTGTTGATGCTGCATGTAGGCCATCTGAGACAAGGAGGTAAAATGACTCCCTAAAGCAGTGGTGGACAAATGTTTTGGCCCAAGGGCCACATCTGGGTGGGGAAACTGCCTGCAGGGCCATGAATGCTGGGACGGGGGTTGGGGTGCGGAAGGGAATGTGAGGTCTGGGAGGGGATGTGGTGTGTAGGAAGGGGCTCAGGGCAGGGGGTTGGGGTGCTGGAGGGGGCTCAGGGCAGGGGGTTCAGGGCTCAGGGCAGGGGGTAGGGGTGCAGGAGGGGGCTCAAGGCAGGGGGTTGGGGGCTCAGAGAAAGGGGCTGGGGTGCAGGAAGGGTGCAGAGTGCGGGAGAGGGCTCAGGGCAGGGGGTTGGGGTGCAGGAAGGGTGTGGGGTGCAGCGGGGATCAAGGCAGGGTATTGGGGTGCAGGAGGGGGTGCGGAGTGCAGGAGGAGGCTCAGGGCAGGAGGTTGGAGGCTCAGGGCAGGGGGTTGGGGTGCAGGATGCAGAAGGGGTTTCGGGTGAGGGCTCCGGCCTGGCACCGCTTACCTCGAGCGGCACCAGGGTGGCAGTGGCAGGCAGGGAGCCTGCCTTAGCCCCGCTGCCTGCCCTGGCCCCGTGTCCAGAAGCGGTCAGCACGTCCGGCAGTGGCTTCTGGGCATGGGGTGGGGCAGGCTGCCCTCCCCTGTGGGTACCACGCCCAAAGCTCCCATTGGCCACAGTTCCCCGTTCCTGGCCACTGGGAGCTGCGGGGGGAGGGCCTGAAGGCAAAGGCAGCGCACAGGGGCCACAGGGACGTGGTGCCAGCCGCTTCTGGGAGCAGCACGGGGCCATGGCAGGCAGGGAGCCTGCCTTAGCCCCACTGCGCCATGGGGCTGGCAATCCTGCAGGCCAGATTGAAAGCCCTGATGGGCCTGATACGGCCCACGGGCCATAGTTTGCCTTCCCCTGCTCTGAAGTGATAGAAATTACCCAAATGCCACCAAAATGTTAAAGCATGATAATCCATTCTATTTGTATTAGCACGTCAGAGTTTATAATTCCATTCTTTAACTTGCTGCCTTCTACCCACACAGCTCACTCTGGTTTTGTCCTGGAAGATGCAATGTGCCCTCAATATCTCACTGAAGTCAATGGAAATTAACAGGTTTAGAGGCCTGTGCAAGGTATGGCCCCATGACAGCAGCAGTCAGTTTGCCTTCAGCTCAAGAAAACATTGTTCCATAACATCTTCTCCCAAAGAGGAAAAAGGCAACTTTGGATAGTTCCGTGAACACTAACATTTTTCTATCATGACCCTTTTAGGTAACTTCCAGGTGGTTAGTAATTTGAGTGTTGGTTTTAATTACGTCAATCTACACATTTAAAAACCACAGAGACATTTCTTTTAAAAAACAGCCTACGCACGAAGGGGAAAGGATTAACATATTATCAGACAAAGATGTGACTACCTACTGAGACTAATCAAGCATTTTACAAACTTTCTTCTAATGCCTATGAGACTTCAGAATCTGCAAAGGAAGGTATGTATTTTAAATGCTTTTTATACATTTTAATATGTCCTTATACACCAAGGTAAATGTATCGCATAAAATACTAAATAATATGCCAAATGCACTGAAAAACTAATAGGTTAAATATTAAAAGCACTAATGTGTTTCACTGCACTTATTAAGTGTTACTTCATTATAACCGTTTTGAATGTCTTGCCCTTTGGAGACCCTGGCTCCTTCCACATAAAAAAAAGCCCTCGAGTAGAGCGGTCCCTGAGCCAAAGAGCACTGGATACAGCTCATTCCCGAGCTCATTTGAAATCAAGCAGAACAGTCATTGTGGAATGACACAGTGAATTCTGTCTCGTATCGGGAGTTCGGCTCCCACCTTCTGTTGGCTCAGGAACAAAACCAACTATTTCCTCTGTACCTTGTGGGCACTCAACTTCATTTAACCTCAGGTTAATAATCTCTTTTTTGGGAAGGGTAATATCCTCCATTTGCAGAAGGGTGATTATAATAATGTTATAGATCTTCTATTTCAAGCCATGATACTTTCAAGTATTTGCATTTTTATATACACAATATACAGAGACGAAGTAATTAAGTTATATTGATTCATTGTCAACTGTTACTACTCAGGCAACATTTAACCTAGAATTATGTTTGATCACTAAAACAAACAGAATTTTTAGCAAATGAAAAAGACTGTACTATATAAATAGAAAGCTGGTATGGTTCAATGCTATTTCAACAAAGACTTGCTTCCCTGTCTTATTTCTCAGAAAAAAATTTTAACACAGTCATTTCCTCTTCAGTCAACATGTTCCAAGTAAAGTTAATGCCAGTGTAGCTACTACAGAAAACCCTGATATGCAATGGTAGTTTCAGATAGTTAAAATAATACTTAGATTCCCATCTAAGCAAATATACTTTCCTTTCCCTAAATGTCCAATGAAGCCTGAAAATATGAAGCAAATGACTGACAGATTCTTTAAATGTTTTCTGAACTACATAAAATATTCATCAAATATATATATTGGTTCAGCTAGAAGAATCCACAGTTTTAGAAATATTTAGTATCGAATACAGCTACTCTGCTGTCTCTATCTATTGGACAGACCATTATTAATGTTTACTAATCCGATAATATTTTTATATACAAAGTATTTTATAAACATTAACTTAACTGGGGGGATTTGGGGGAGGGGGTTGGTTTGGTTTTTTGTTTGTTTTTGTTTTGTTGAGTAAAAGTGTCATCTTTTTTTAAAAAAAAAGTTACATTTTAATGTGGCTCCAATGAACTAACTAGGTCTCTGATCCAGTAAAACCAGGGCCAGTCTTAGGGGCAAGGTGATCACCCTGAGTCACAACTTTTAATGGTGCCAAATCACTATTGTGGGGTGCACATCACTCAGTCTATTTAGTTATTCATTTTACTCTGCTGCTCCACTCATCTGTTGTGTGGTTTTGTTTTGGGGTTTATTTATTTTGGGTAAACTGCTGGGTGACACTGAAAATGTTTTCCACCCTGAGGAGAAAAATCCCCAGGGGCAGCCCCGCTGCAGACACACAAGTAACTTTACACACACAAATAGTCCCATTCACTTAAATGGACTGCTCACATGAGTGAACGTACTCAAGCATAAGTGTTTGCAGGAAAGGGACCCAAGATATTTCAATAAATTGCTTAAACATGAATGAAACTCATGCAATGTAATGTGAACTCTCCCAGACACTGGAATACTTCAGTTTCGCTAAAATCATTACCAAGTCTAGTCACACATTTTTATGAAATTATACTGGAACAAAATTCTCATACTAATTATCTCTCATGTCTTGCTTTTCTCTCTTTTTAGGTTCTGGATATCTTTAAGCAGCCAACACACCTCACTTTTCTACAGGATAATTAAAATGTCCTTAAGCAATATCTCAAATTGCAGTGTCTACACACAAATGGAACCATTTACCTATTTTTACTATTTAATTTTCCTCATTGGATTTATTGGGAGTTGTTTTGCCCTATGGGCGTTCACTCAAAAGGATCAGAAACAAAAATGTATGAGCATCTATCTAATTAACCTCCTAACAGCTGACTTCCTGTTGACTATGGCATTGCCAGTAAAAATAATTGTTGACTTAGGTATTGCCCCCTGGAAACTGAGGATATTCCACTGCCAAGTCACAGCTTGCCTTATCTATATTAACATGTATTTATCAATCATATTTTTGGGATTGGTAAGCATGGACCGCTGCCTTCAGTTAATGCACAGTACTAAGATCTATCGAATCCAAGAACCTGGATTTGCCAAGATGTTATCTGCAGTTGTTTGGATAATGGTTCTCCTTATAATGGTACCTAACATGGTGATTCCAATCAAGGAAATAGAACAAAAGCCTACTGTGGGGTGTATTGATTTCAAAACAACATTTGGAAAAGATTGGCATGTGTTTACTAATTTCATATGTACAGCAATATTCCTGAATTTTTCAGCCATGATACTTATTTCCAATTTTCTTGTTCTTAGACAACTTTACCGAAACAAATACAGCGAGAGTTATGCAAATGTAAAGAAAGCTCAGGTAAATATACTGTTAGTAACGGCAGGCTACATCATGTGTTTTGTTCCTTACCACATTGTTCGGATCCCCTATACTTTGAGCCAGAGTGATGCTATAACCGATTGTCTTCTGAAACAAACCCTCTTTAAAGCAAAGGAATCCACTCTGCTGTTGGCAGTGTTAAATCTCTGTTTTGATCCTGTTTTGTATTTTTATCTTTCCAAGACATTTAGACTGAAAATTACTGAGACTTTTACATCACATAAAGAAACAAAGACTCTCACAGGCGGAGTACACTGAGAAGAGGCACATTATATACAAAAGTACTGTAGTATTTCAGCCTGTGTAAGGATATTAAAGAAGGTACTAACAGTGATTCCCCCAAGTGACAGTGCCCCCCCCATAATTTGTCCCCCACACTTTAAAATCCAACAGTTTCACCAAGTACTAAAATCTCTTGGGTCTTCTGTTAAAACTTGTAAGCTACTGTCTGTAGAAACCATTGATTGTATCTGTCCTGTGATAGATACTTTATTACTACGTAAAACTTACAAACAAGTAAATTGACTTTGTTCTTAAAGTAATTGATACAATGTAAACAAATGCTATAAGCCGTTAAGTGACTTTCACTTCATTGTATCAGCAATGGCTCCTAGGAACAGACCCCCACCCTCTGTGATTAAAGGGCCAGGAGTCTCAAATGAATTAGCACACACCCCGAAAGTGGTGGAGCAGTAAATTAAAATATTAAATGTATGTCGATGAATGCTTGATGTACATGAATGGTTAGAGAGGTGCCAGCCTAGAAAGGGAGTATCCATCGGCCGAAGAATGTGTCAAGTGAACTACCAGACAACCCCCGGAGGGTAAACTACCAGACACCCCATCACCTGGAAGGATGAGAAACACAAACTTTGGACAGTGTGGAGCCACCAGGAATGCGCCACTTTGTACAGTGTGGACTCGGAGCCACCAGGAATGTGCCATCTACTGATTAAGTCAGCAACAGCAGAATGAAACAGCTCCCATAGACTAACATAGGAATTAATTCCTATAAAAATGGACTCTTAAGACTGAGGACTTTGAGTCTCTGCTTCTGCTGCCAACCTCCAGGAGCATCAGGTGCATCTGACACAGACTCGGCTCCATCCTCATGACCAAGATACCTGGCTAGTAACTTGGCATGAGCAACTTCTAGGCTGGTAACTATAACACCTATACAAAACTTAAATAAATAATTGTGTGTACATATATATATATATATATGTGTGTGTGTGTGTATATATAAATAAGGAATAAGTAGTAATAGGAATAAGTAGTCAAACAACATTGTTTATTTTTATCTTTTGCTTTATCATTATATTTACAATAAATGTGGCATCTTTGCCTTATCCCTCTTAATAAGATCCTGCTGGTTTTTATTCTATTGGTATAACATTTTGGTGGAGAATTGCAAAAGGGGGAATATTGGTAAAAAGCCTCAGGTATTGTAAATATTGTTGTGCACACAGCCGGCTCTATAGAGAGCGGTTCTATTTTTGGTTAACCAAAGCCTACTGACCTCCGGAGGGTAGAGGCTTCATATCATATCCAAAGCGTTTAAAGCTGCTCGCTGAACGAGACCAGGGGTAGCAGAATAAAATAATTTAGGCTGTGTCACTCGCTGCAAGGGTTCAGGGGTAACAAAGGGAACTATACACAGGTTAAAAATGTTTAAGAAAAGACAAGGAAAAACAGTCTCAGAGGAAGGAATGGAGTTTAAAGGAGCTCCAACCTCACCTTTTGTAAAAGGAATAACACCCTTTAAACAAATCCTTCAGAGATATGGGCACAGTCCTTGGACTGAACAAGCCCTTGCAGATGCTTGCTCTATTTTGGATCTAGAGGATAGATTGGCCCAATATATCCTCATATGTAAACCCCCAAATGCAGCAAAAAGAGATGCTGCAGGGATCTGGCTGCTGTGGGAGGCTTGTAGTAACAGCTACCTCCGCCTAACAGCCTGTAAAAAAATACATATATCTCTAAAAAAACAAAAACAAAAAAAAACCTATCCCAATTGGAAAAAGGGGTAGAAAATTAAAAAGTAATGGCACCAAATCTTGCAAAAATCCAAACACAGCCCTTGGTCTGATCAAGTGTAAGCTGATGTCCATACAATTTCAGACCTAAAAAAAAACAAATTGGCTAGGTACTTATTAATATGTAAACCCTTAACTTGAATAAAAAAGAAAGCAGCCTCAGTTTGGCTTCTATGGAAGACCTGTCACAAGGTATTCCTTCAATCGGCTAAATGTAAAAATAAAAGACTGCACCAAAATTTAGAAGCCTCTGCTGCAAAAGCAGAGAAATAAAAATGTATGTCCATTAGTACCCAAACCCAGTTAGATGCCCTTAAGGTTGTGTACCGAAAGTTAAAACAGCACTCTCAAATTTTACAGCAGCAGTAACATTTGAGACCCCAGAAGGGGCAGACTTTTGGGACCCCTCTGAAGATTGAGAAGGGGAATATTTGGGTAGATTCCTCCTCCCAGGGCCAGAATGCCATTGCAACAGTAACAACAGTGCCTGCTTCTGCCTCAGACCTTCAGGCCATGGCAAAGTGGCTGGGGATTTTAAAATAAAAAAAATGTAAACTCACACAGAAATGCAACACTTAATTAGCATTTGTGCAGCCCCAAGTACCAAACACACTGTGGCAAAGACTGAGCAGGGTCTGCCATGGTGGGAGCACTGTGCTAATTTGTTTCTAAGCTGCTATCTTTCAGGCTCAAAACATCAAAAGAGCTGGTACCAGCTAAAAAGTTATAAAATACCATGGTTATAGTGTCGCGACAAAGCCTGTGTTCAGTGTTGCATGTTCTGTGTCTGTCTCTAGTGGTGTCCTGTGCTAGCATTGGGTCCAAAGAAAGAGGGAATACTACACTAGACAGGGCAAATGTCTTTTCTTCTCTCTACTTCCCCCATATCCATCCAACTTATCAATCACCACTTGTGTCCAAAAGACTTTGGTCCCCAGTGCATCAGGTTTATTTTTTTTTTTGTTAGTTTCTCTAATAGTCATTTTGTTGTTAATTTTTGTTATTAATATATTTGTATTGTTAGTTACATTTGCTTGTATTGTTAATTCCACACTTTCCTCTATGCACTCTGGTTCTACTTCCCCAAGCCCTAAAGGGTAGTTCTTGGGCCCCCATAACCTGTAAAACTTTGGCCCATAATTGCAGGGCCCCATCTTTTAAGTCCCCAGAGACCTCTTGAAAACAACTGTTAAAAATAGGAAATTCTGCAACATTTTAGCAACTAAATGTTAGTTTAAGTCCAAATCAGCTTAACCTTGCATAACAACTGTGGTACTCCTACAAAATCTTATTTGTTGTGTGTGCTTAAGAAGGTCCTAACCTCGGTGACTTTTATTGTTTGATGGCTCTTGCAGCATCAAACTTGGGCCTCATTTTATTTGTCAAGGTACCCAATTATTATAATGGTAATGGTTTTATTGTATTCCCAATTATTATAACTATAATTGTTTGCATTTGTGTTTAGGTTATATCTGGTGTTTAGTCAATTGTAATGGTTTTAGTTATATTCACCTGGTTATAATTGTTTGGTTTGTTTGCAACAGATCACCTGTGCCCTTCAATAACAACAACTACTGTAATAATCATAAATAAAGGGGCAAAGTGTTGTAGAAGCAGCCCACCTGGGCAGCAGTTCTAAATATAATTTTTCATTCCATCATTGTCCTATTAGTAATCCTAACTGTTATGTTGGTTCTGCCTTAAAACAATTACATAAAGTGCGACCCATTCATATGGGATGCACTGAAATGCAGATGCTTGCCCTATCTACTTTGGAACACAAAATGTTTTGGGTAATTTCGGGTAGTATTAAGGTTTTAATGCATTTGTTAAAACAAAGGAAAAAAATCTCTGTTTAATACTTACCAATATAACTGGATGCAGTATGTTTCCAGCACTGTGAAACCAAACTTGTTAATTGGAAAAATAATTGTAAAAATAGCACATCAAGAGTCTCTGGAGGCAAAGGTATGAAAGGTTAGCCCACTCCCCATATTACACATGGGAGCATTCTGGCTGCCTCGGACCTTGAGCCAGTGGGCCGGGAAAGAAAAAAAACTATTGAACACTAGAGGTTGTACCAAATGGACTCCTCAGAAGTGGGTATGCCTCACCTTACCTGTTGCCCCCAAGCCTTGTAGTAAAAAAGTTTCATTGGAATCATGTATGTGGTATAAATTAAATAATAACACCAAAGTATTGTACAATGAACAATGTGTATGTATTCACTCGTGGGAGGAAGTATTTTGGAAGGATGGAAGTGTTAGCAGCCCCCCAGTAGATAAATGTAAATGCAATGTCAGTACTGTTTTTACTAGAAATCACACTTACTATTTACTGCGGCCAAAAAGGTCCCAGCTAACACTAACAGCTGACCTGGCCAACTTCTCGATTAACCTTAAAATTAAATGGCAAAATCTTACTGATAGTCTAATTAAAAGCAAAAAAAAGTAACCAAATTTTTAAAACAAACAGATGACCAAGTAGAAAATCGGACTATTCATATTATACATGCCAATGGGAACATGTTACGAATTGCCACCGCAGAGAAACAAATTACAACCTACCACTGGTATAATATATTCTCTGGATGGTCCCCAACTACCACTGGCATCCTATCAGTAATGCTACACCCCTTAATAGTAGTCTTAATATTAAATTGTATTTGTATAATTGTAATGTCTGACATGTGTTTTCAAATAAAAAAATGTATGCTAAATTAAAATCACGAACGCATGTTGCCTCACAGTATCTTCTCTTAAACAGGTTAAAAAAACAGTGACACTAACGATTATATAAATATCGTAGTGTCAAAAGGGGGATTATGTAGGGATATTAAAGAAGGTACTAACAGTGATTCCCCCAAGAGACAGTGCCCCCCCCATAATTTGTCCCCCACACTTTAAAATCCAACAGTTTCACCAAGTACTAAAATCTCTTGGGTCTTCTGTTAAAACTTGTAAGCTACTGTCTGTAGAAACCATTGATTGTATCTGTCCTGTGATAGATACTTTATTACTATGTAAAACTTACAAACAAGTTAATTAACTTTGTTCTTAAAGTAATTGATACAATGTAAAACAAATGCTATAAGCCGTTAAGTGACTTTCACTTCATTGTAACAGCAACGGCTCCTAGGAACAGACTAATCACAGAGGGTGGGGAAGGGCCGCGAGTCTCAAATGAATTACTGGTCTCACACCCTGAAAGTGGTGGAGA